ACTGCAAAAGTACAAACATTTGTTTTTGATGAATTAACGAATCACTCACCCATTCTACTGCATATTGATTATACGCCCATTTCTAAGCAAAATAAACATATTTAATATAAGCAAAATTGATATCGGTGGTATAAGTAAATGCATGGAGAAGGAAGCATGGAATGATCTATACTCTGTAACCGATGTTAATCAAGCTGCCATAATACTGACTGAAAAATTAGAAAGCTTTATAAGCAGCAACACCTTAGTTAACAAAATTTCAAAGCGTAACAAACCTTTAAAACCCTGGATAACTATAGATGTAATAAAATCTATACGTAGACGAGATAGAATGCATAAGAAAGTAAAATTAAATTCCAATAATCTAGAAATAAAAGACAAATACCTAGCGTATAGAAATACATTAAAAAGGGTAATTAAAACGTTGAAAACAAATTACTACATGGACAAACTTAACAAAAACAAAGGTAATATAAAGGAAACTTGGAACACGATTAAGGAATTATGTAACATGAAACAGAATAAGGCATCGCCTACTGAATTGCTTAACATAAACACTAATGTAACTAGATCGCTAGATGATGTGAATGATTGATTCATCGGTTGGTTCAAACCTTGCTAAAAGACTTCTGCAAAACTTAAATACTGATGAGACAACCCTAGCCCTAAATGCTAAAATCACAAATGCACCGTTACACTCCATGGCACTACACCTAACGGACCCTGCAGAGGTGATTGATGTAATTAGTGGCCTTAAATCACATAGTGCTCCAGGTTTAGACAAAATAACAGCTGCCTTTTTGAAAAAGTTTCGTTTTCACCTCGCCAAACCTATATCCTACTTGACCAACTTAACCTTCGAACGAGGCATCTTCCCTAAAATATTTAAGCACGCTATTATCTGCCCCATCTATAAATCAGGAAACAAGCATCTTCCCACAAACTATAGGCCTATTTCACTGTTGAGTACCCTCTCTAAAGTAGTTGAGAAAATAATAAACAAGCGTTTAAAAAGTTATATGGAAAGCAATAAACTTCTTGGTATGAAACAATACGGTTTTCGAGCCAATCGCTCTACTGATGACGCTGTATTACAACTAACATCTAATATTACATCTCACGTTGACAGAGGCGATAAATGTTTAGCCGTATTTCTTGACTTACAAAAGGCGTTTGACACCGTTTCTATTCCGATCCTTTTAACTCGCCTTGAGAATCTAGCCATTAGGGGAAACGCACTTCTATGGTTAAAAGATTATCTCACAGAAAGATACCAGTGTGTTAGAGTTGAAAACCATACCATGCACCTGTGTGGGGTCATATGGGGTTCCACAAGGCAGCGCTCTCGGTCCTACGCTATTTCTTGCATATATTAACGACCTATGTAAATTTGAAATTCAGGGTGCTGACATACAAATGTTTGCCGATGACACAGTGGTATTGTTTCATAGTAATGCATGGGAGAATGTACGTCAAATAGCTGAAAAAGGTATGTCTCGTATTACAGCTTGGCTTGAAGATAGTCTACTATCAATAAATGTGGACAAGACAAAATTCCTACGTTTTAGTAAAACTATAGCATCTTCGCCGAAAACACTCCAGCTACGCATACATTGTCATCCATGTAACCGATCAACAATCGAACTGTGTGCACGTTGCAGTTGTCCAGAGCTGTCAAGGGCAACCGAAATCAAATATTTAATGGTAAATATTGACTACAAATTAAACTGGAAGAAACACATAAACACAGTTAATGGTCGATTAAGGAAGTTTATTTACATTTTTAAGAATTTACGAATTATACCAGACATTACACTTTTAATACAAACGTACAAAGCCCTAGCTGAATGTTTAATCACCTACTGTATATATTCGTGGGGCTCAGCTGCAAAAACATACTTGATTGATGTCGATGAGCACAACGGGCTGTACTTAAAGTACTCCTTTACTTACCATTCCGTCACCCTACTCATCGAGTGAATGGAAAGGCTGAAGTTTTAAGCGTACGAAAGATGTTTGTCTATCAATGTATCCGCAAATATCACAAGCATACTGTACCTCTTCTCCAACCTTCGGGTAAAAGAAAAGACAAATGTCCAATCCCAAGGGTTAAAAGTAAATTTGCTCAACAGCGATATAGTAACATTGCACCGAGGCTATATAATAAACTTAATTTAAATTACAAAACCAGACACTTATCGAACTACCAAATTAAAGACATAATTAAAATATGGCTTAACAGTTTGGCCTACGATGATGTAGAAAACTTATTGCTGGTAAGAACGTAGTTCAGGTTTCAATACACATACACAAATACTACTACTTTTGAAGCTGACCTACAGCGTAAGGCTTTCAGCACCTCCAGTTTGACATCTTTAACAGAAGACTTCTTCATTCAGAAGAAATCATTTAAAACATTAATTTTGAACATGTTGAGGTCGCTCCAACAGCAAGTGGAAGTCATTGCGCGAGAGCTTGACAGTTTGTATGCATACAATTGTCGCAAAATCCTTCTTCTCCATGGTGTCAAGGAGCAAAAAGGAGAGATCACATCTCAGGTTGCAGCTAACATTATCCAAGAAAAGCTGGAACTTGAATCATTCACTCCCGATGAGTTGAGTCAATGCTACAGGATGGGTCGCCAGGCGGGTGGGAAACCTAGGCCTGTTATTATGAAGTTTAGATCAGTAACAGTGCGGGACAATATGTGGTCATTAAAATCCAAACTAAAAGGCACTGGGATCACTCTTTCTGAGTTCTTAACCAGCTCTGGACACACAGCATTTATGGCAGCACGTAAAAAATACGGCGTAAATAAGTATTGGACTCGTGAGGGGCTCGTCTATGTTTTTGCTCCTGACGGATCACGACATCGCATTGCTTCCCTTGGCGACTTGAACAAAGTAGCTCCTGACAACAGCAAAGCTACTGACGTAACGGTGGTAACAAAAGACCCTCGACAGAAGCAAAGAAGAGCCGCGGCAACTTCAAAAAAGTGATTCATGGAACATTCTTTCCTTCCTTGGGCTAAAAGTAAGTAAGGCAGGCGCAGTGCATACTCCATTTTCATAAGATTAACTTCAATATTTTACAATGACGTTTAATCTATTTAACTTTATAACTAAATTACTTTGTTGTGGAACTTTATCAATTTCACATAAGGTTTGTTATTAAATGCTCCATGTAATGCTGTGTTAAAATGTACACAATAAACAACATCAGTAAGTTTTGACATTTAGGAGAAGGCGGGCGAAGCGAACTATACCAACCCGTCTGGCCAGCGTGGTATAGTAGGCCAAAACCTCCTTTCTAAGGAGAGGCCTATGTCCAGCAGTGGACTAGTAAAGGCTGTTGATGATAATGATGAAGCGAAATCTTGACATTGTTGCGTTTCGTTCGACGCATTGCATGTCACGCACAGTGCATGTCACAATTTATTTAGTACAATTATTTTATTTATTCTTCATTTTTTTCCTTTTTTTATTCTTAATATACTTTTAAAAAATAAATTTAAATTCTACTTCTGGCTTGCACTGCCAACAACTAGAAGGTTTTTATCTCATAATACACCAACGGCCCATTAAATGTTCAATTGATTCATGAAAAACAAGATGATGTTTTAAACAATTATTTTGTTTCATAGTTCTTATGTCTGTGTATTTTTCTGTCTGGTACGTTATGTTTCTACTCTTGTACGATGTTATGTTTTCTTTATAGTGTTATTTTTAAATGTCGAAACGCAACTGGCAGGTGAATAAAATTTATTATTTTTCTTGTGATATTATTAGGCAAATTTCGTTGTACTGAACATTTAAATATATATTTTTTTTGTTTACATTATTTTTAATATTTTTATATTATTTATTTAATAAGTATAACATATTTATAAGTAATATGACTGATTCGGCCCATAGTGATAATGAAAGCTTCTTTTCTGCTAATGATTCAGAGGATAGTTTTGTGTTCCTTCACTTGGAGAAACACTTTAGTCTAGGTTTTCAGAGGTACCGAAGAATTTCAATGTAGTCCGTATTAATGCCCAGAGTATTCCTGCTCATTTTCACGAGATGCTGGTCTCTGGCTCTTTTTTTTACTTCGAGTTTTAATAATTTGAAAATGTCGTTCGGTAAAATACGCGACTTTGATAAGAAGTCAGGCAATTGGACCTTGTACGTGGAGCGGTTGCAGATGTATTTCAAGGTAAATAAGGTCGAAAACGACATGTGGTTGGCTATGCTGATCACCGGCGTGGGGGATGAAACGTACAAGTTACTCAGCACGCTGTGTAGTCCAAGGAAACCGGCGGATATCACGTACGAACAGGGCGTTAAAATTTTGAAAAATCATCTACAACCGAAACCCGCTGTCATGGCGGAACGGTATCGGTTCAGGCAAAGAAGACAGGAAGATGATGAAAGTATAGCCCAATATTTAACCGAGATAAAGAAGCTCTCGAAAACGTGTGAATTTGGTGGAAATTTAGAGGAAAATCTGCGGGACCAGCTCGTATGTGGAATGAAGAGTGACGTCATCAGGCAAAGATTGTTTGCAGAAGACAGTTTGGCGTACTCCGGAGCAGTCAAATTGGCTTGTGGGTTGGAAGCGGCAGAGCGTGATGCGGCAGTCGTAGAACAAAAAGCGATCGCGGAGGCATCTGTAACATTAAACTCGTGGCGGGCAAAACGTGGGCGCGGTCAGAGCGCGGACCGTGAGCGAGCGGGCCAGGGGCGAGCGGCACGGGATGCCGATACAGGCGCCGGGCACTGCACGACATGCGGGTGGCGCGGACATGGCAAAGAGGAATGCCGCTATAAGCATTTTGTTTGTAGTAAATGCAAACAAAGCGGTCATTTGAGACGCATTTGTCCACGGGCGGAGGCGAACAGAGGCAGAGGGAGTAAGCGCGGGATAAACCACGTGAAAGCTATCACGATGGAGCAGCCGAGGGCAAGAAGCGGAGATTTCAGCTTGGACGAGCTAGAAGAAGGGCTACACCAACTATGTTCGAGCAGCTATACCCCGGTATAAAGAACTATTCAGCGGCGGATTGGGGCGGTACACGGGCGGCAAGGCAACACTCCCTTTTGCGAGAGGGTGCTCGGCCGGTGTTTTATCGGGCGCGGCCACTGCCTTACGCTCTGAGGGGTCCGGTCGACGTGGAGCTGGACGCCATGTTGCGCGCGGGCATCATCGAGCCCGTGGAGTACTCGGAGTGGGCGACGGCATTGGTACCGATACGTAAAGCTGACGGCGGACTTCGTATCTGTGCTGATTACAAAGTAACTTTAAATCCTGTCTTACTGGTCGATAGATACCCGCTACCGAAGATCAATGATCTATTAGTGAGCTTAAACGGTGCTACTCATTTCTCAAAAATTTACTTATCCCTTGCTTATAATCAGATTGAGCTGGATGATTAAAAAGAATTGACTGTAATAAATACACATCGAGTTTTGTTTAAATACAATAGACTCGTGTTTAGATTGTCGTCTAGCTTGGGCATTTTCCAGAGTGTTATGTCAAATCTACTTAGTGATATTCCGGGGGTAGAAGTATTTCTCGACGACATTATCCTGGGAACGTCGGGAACGCCAAATAAACATTTAGAAACATTAGAAAGAGTGTTCCAGAGGTTACAAAGTCACGGTATGAAGTTAAAAAAAAGTAAATGTTTATTCATGGTTAATGAAGTCAAATACTTAGGGTATGTTATTTCAAAAGAGGGTATTAAGGTAGATGCAGATAAAGTAAAGGCAAAATTCCAAGGCCACAAGATACTACAGAGTTACGTTATTTTTTAGGTTTAGTTAATTTTTATGCTTTTGTTAAGAATTTGAGTAGTATATTGTCCCCACTTTATGAACTTTTAAAGAAAAATGCAAGTTGAAAATGGAGTGTCCAGTCAGAGTTAAAAAAAACATTGATAGGTGCGGAAGTGTTGGCTCATTATGATCCGGATAAGCCGTTAGTGTTGACATGCGACGCGAGCGCACGGGGCATAGGCGGCGTGCTCACACAGCCAGGCGCCGACGGCCGCGACAGGCCAGTTGTATATGTGTCGTGCGCGTTAAATAACGCCGAGAAACATAATTAACAGATAGATCGGGAAGCGTTAGCTATCGTATTCTGTTTACAAAAATTACATCAGTATGTCTATGGACGACGCTTTGTCTAACGAACTGACCATAAACCGTTTGTCAGCATATTTGGACCAAAACACGGGGTACCGGCGATGGCAGCGAGTAGATTACAGCGCTGGGCAATTTTATCTGCATATACGTATGATACAGAATACGTAAACATTAAACAAAACGGTGCGGACGGACTATCGAGTTTACCGGTGCCGTGCAGTAGCGATGAGTCACTGCATGCCCCTGAGCAAACGTATTTACATTTTGCACAGAACGCATTGTTATTAGATTATAATATAATTAAAAAACAAACTATAGTAGACCCAATTTTAGGTAGGGTTTTAAGTTATATTCGTGATATGTGGCCCGAAGATAATGATATTCGAGAATTACAGCCGTATTTTAACCGACGTAGGGAACTGTACGAAGAGCTAAGCTGCGTTATGTGGGGGCACAGGGTAGTTATTCCGGCAAGCTGTCGAGCTAGGGTATTACAGGAATTACATGAACCCCATATGGGCATAGTTAAGACAGTAATTCGTAAGAAGTAGTTTTATGTAGTGTGTACCTTATTTAATGTATAAATACAAAAGTCTAGAATTAAGAAAATAATGTGTCTTAGTACAATTTAGAAAGTAATGATGTATTATTTAAGGTGGAGGGGTATAATATATTTAGGTTTACCCACCCAAGTTAGAATGTCAAGTGGCCCAATTTAAGCGGACACATTCTTGTAACCGATTCGTTCATATTATACGCTCGCTATAAATCAACATTATTTTATTTGCACCAAGACTTCAATTAGGAATAATCGCTCTGTTCGGGGTGGGGGCGGTGTGGCCATATATCTACGCACTCACATTCCTTTCTCCATCGTAAGTTTATCCTCACAGCCACCACCATCGGATGCGGGCGAGCACCTCTTCTTGGAGGTGGAACTTCATCACCACAAACTTCTGCTCGGTGTGTAGTATTCCCCTTCTTTACACGTCAACTATTTCTCTTTCTTCGAGCATATTTTGGAAAATCTTACTCCATTCTACCAGCATACAATCATTATGGGAGATTTCAATACGTGTCTCTTAAAAGGAGATACTCTGTTTACTTAAGGCGCGTGGTTGAGTCTAGCAATCTATCTATACTACCCTCAGGCGCGACTCACAAAGCACCAAACTGTGTTTCTTCTCTCTTAGATCTCATCATTGTTTCCAAGACTGAGCATGTAACCAATCATGGCCAGTCCTCTGCGGATGAGTTTTCCCATCATGATCTAATCTATTTCTCCTACGCCCTTCGACCTCCTAAATCCAAACATAAAATTGTCATGCGGCGCAGTTTTGGTAGCATGGATCGGGAAAAGCTATGTGCAGATGTTAGAAGCATCGACTGGCAACCTCTGTCGGAGAGTATTGACACAAAAGTGAACATTTTAAATGAAAACTTAATCAGTATATTTGATATTCATGCACCTCTTCGTAGTGTTAAACTAAAGCATTTGCCAGCTCCATGGTTCACCGATGAAATACGAGCCATCATGTCGGAAAAGGTAGCGGCAAAGACAAGATACAAGCTTGGACCTACTCAAACTAACTTCTACAAATATGTGACTATAAGAAATTACTGCAATAAGGTGTGTAAAGAAGCGCAACGCCAACACATCCATAAATCTGTTGAAAACAACGATCCGATGAGGATCTAGAAATTTCTGAAAACATCAGGAGTTGGAAAATCGAACCTAAACCCATTTCTAAAGACTTAAATCTTGATTCACTTAACAAGCATTTCTCCTCCTCGTCTGATTTTGATAAGACAACTAAAGCCAAAACTTTAAAATACCTTTCATCTATTCAAACTCCTAACTACTCTCCCTTCATTTTTAATCAATTGGCAGCTTGTGATGTTAGAAAGAGCATACTTTCAATCTCATCTTATGCGGTGGGAAGCGACTGCCTTAGTAAAAAAATGATTCGCCCCATCCTTGATAATATTCTTCCTGTCCTGTGTAACATTTTCAATCATTCCTTATCCTACGGCGTCTTTTCATCTGCATAGAAATCAGTTGAAGTTATTCCTTTGCCAAAAAAATCGAAGCCTTCGTCCTACTCAGACTATCGCCCTATATCTATGTTACCATTCCTTTCTAAAGTTCTTGAACGTCTTGTTTATAATAAAGTCAACAAGTTTCTGTTAAGTAACAATCTCCTAAATCCCTTTCAGTCTGGCTTCCGTGCAGGACACAGTATAGTGTCAGCATTAGTCAGACATCACATCACATATGATATTAGAGGAAATATAGATAGTGTAAACGTAACGGTATTATCCTTACTCGACTTCAGTAATGCATTTAGTACCATCGATTTCCATATTCTCCTTGGTATTCTTCGCTCTCTTAACTTATCTCCAGGGGCAATTGATTGGTTTCACAATTACCTGTTTGGGCGTCAGCATCGCATTCGACTTGAAGACTCCCTCTCTTCATGGTGTAATGCCACTGTCGGTGTCCCACAGGGTGGCGTTCTATCTCCATTACTCTTCGCAATTTTTATTAATTCCATGCAATCCAATCATTTACTTTCATCCTACCACCTGTATGCTGATGATTTACAGATATACACCCATGCACCTGTCAGTATGTTATCGACTGCGCTTAATATTATTAATGCAGATCTAGAGCACATAAGTGCTTGGAGTAACGACTATGGACTCAAAATTAATCCCACAAAATCACAGGTTGCATACCTGTGATTTTGTCATTGGGAGTCCCATAATGTCTGCTAAAATTAATTGGCCACATTTGCCTCCGGTTCAATTTAACAATACCATCATACCGATCAGGAGCAAAGTAAAAAACTTGGGAATTATAATCGATAGCACCTTATCATGGGGACCTCAGATTCACGAGGTGAGCCGCAAAATCTTCGCTGCAGCAGGATCTTTGCGAAGGTTACGAAACTTTCTTCCGACTGCTACTAAAACTGCACTTGTTGTGCAAGTGCAGTTTTAGTTTTAGTTTTACGCTCCTTCTTCCGATTCTTGACTATGCCGACGTTAGCTATCTCGATCTCAACGAAGCACATCTTGATAAACTTGAGCGTCTCCAAAATTTTTGTATACGATTCATATTTGGACCTCGCAAATATGATCATGTTTCCCACTACCATAAAAAGCTCAGGTGGCTTCCGATCCGCCTTCGCCGGAATACTCATATCCATACGCTTCTGTATAAATATACTGTTCAATCCATTTACTCCTATTTACTTCAAAGAACGCTTTCAGTTCCTTCATGACACACATATGAAAATTCTGAGGTCCTCTGAAATCCTGAGATTGGAAATACCAAGGCATTCTACCAATTTCTACACAAAATCATTTTCCGTAGGAGCTGTACGGTTATGGAATGCATTGCCGGTTACTATCAGACGTGCGCAATCCGTAACCATCTTCAAGACTATGCTATATGAGCATTATCTGTCTCTAATAGTTGAAAATAAGCGTATGTATATATTAACGTATGTATGTATAGTATTTATGTATAAATATAGATTACTAGTATTTATGTATAAAAAATATTTCATAGGTTAAAACCATATTTACTTCTCTAATTTATGTATACCTATCACCAGTTCAAAATGAATCCATCCAAACGTTGCCTGGAAGAAATTACACTAAGCGATAAGGCAGCCCTTTGTACATTACATCTGTTGTTAATTACTTTATAAAGTCTGTAAAACCCTGGTGTACAAATAAAGTATTTATCTATCTATCTATCTATGTCATGTGAGTGGTGAACGCAGTGCACTGAATGCCACGTTGCCGGTGTTGCCAAGTGATGATCAGGAGTTAAATTTAGGACTGGATTGAATGAAATTCACAGACTGATTTGAACGATTGCGCATAACTCGTGACGGACACCATACTTTTCAATTTCACAATTTTATTGATACTAGTGTGTGGTTGTTGATTACGCGAGACTTCAAGTATCTCAAGTAAGTCTGCTCGGCTGCGAATAAATTCTATTAACATAGACTGATGGATTTATTTATATCTAAATTAGCTTTATAGTAGGCCAAAACCTCCTTTCTAAGGAGAGGCTTATGTCCAGCAGTGGACTATTAAAGGCTGTTGATGATGATGATGATGATAGCTTTACGTTCCTCCCACTCCCTGTACGTCTTAGCATCGAGTTTCTGAGTAACAATGTGTATTAAAAGAGTGTCCCACTGAGTTGTAGGCTCACCTAATGACTCTAAAGCTCTTACATTTTTATTTACCTGATCTATAATGAGCTT